TATTGGATCTTTATTTTACTTCTAAATTGTTACTATTTTATTGTATCTGCTCTTATTCTTGTGTTTTGCTTTATCGTGTATCTTGTATCGTGATCCCTCTGCATCTCTATGCACACTGATATTGATCCTGATCAAAATCTTCTGTCTCATATCTATACCAACCAGCACATTGATCATCATTATTGTAAGTATTTCACAGCACACCAGGCTAAAAACAAACTCCAAAATAGCACCTGTCTATCAGTTTATAACCAAAATGTTAGATCACTTGGTAAACATTTTGACGATTTAAATGCACTACTCACAGCACTAGGTACTAACCTATCGTTCATTATTTTAACAGAAACTTGGCTAAATAAAGACTATACCCAACTCTACAACTTAGCTGGTTATAAAGCCATTCATAACTGTAGGCTTAATAAAAAAGGTGGTGGCACAGCTATATATTACCGAGATACATTTATCTGCAACAGTGTTATTAGTGACAGAGATGACTACTGTGAATATACTTTTGCTCAGTTTACAATTAAATCCCTTAAATCCTCTTTGACTATTGGAGCCATCTATAGATTTCCTAATACTAACATAGCTTCTTTCTCAGACAACCTAAGGAATCTTATTATAAACAACAATCTCAACAAAAACCACATCATTCTGGGAGGAGACTTTAATATTGACCTGGGTCAACAAAACTGCTCTCAAGTTGACTATTTCCTTAACAGCATGAACTCCTGTATGCTAATCCCCACTATCACCAAACCTACCCGAGTCACTCAAACATCAGCCACTACCTTGGACCACATATGGACAAACATAACAGCTCCCCTTGTATCTGGTATAATCTACGACAGAACAACTGACCACTATCCTACCTTTCTCATAGCGAACATGGACATAACACCACCAAAAAGCAAGAAATTTTCATTTAGGCTACACAGTGAATCAGCTTTAGACAATCTTACAGAGGCACTTCACAATATTAACTGGGATTCTGAATTCAATAATACCCATGATATAAATTCATTAGCTAACCTCTTCCTCTTCAAAACTCTAAGCCTCTACAACCTTCATTGTCCCCTTCTTACAAAGCAAGTAACTGACAAAAGATTAAACAATCCATGGCTCACAAATGGCATTCTCAACTCAATCAACAAGAAACATGAATATGAAAAGAAAGTTAGGATTGGCCTAGTTTCAAAGGAAGTAGCTAAAAGGTACTCATCAATGCTTACCAGTATCATAAGAAAGGCAAAACTTGCATATTATGTGAATAGATTCAATGAAGCAAAAGGCAACATGAAAAACACTTGGAAAACTATCTCTAGTATCCTAGGAACTAAACAACACTCACATAACCAAATAAAACCCTACAAGGATGGGGATATACCGTCAACTGATTTAGAAATGGCAAATGAATTTAATAGTTTCTTTTCATCGGTTGGTGCTAATCTTGCCAGTAAAATCCCACAGACTCAGACACATATTAACACATATCTCTCAGGCAGCTATCCAAACTCTCTTCTCCTTTCACCAATCAACCCGGCAGATGTTGTGTCCATCATACACTCTCTAAAAACCAAGGCAGGGAACACCAGTGAAATTCCGTCCATTGTGTACAAGAGAGCCTCCCATGCCCTTGCCCCACCCATAGCACTACTGTTCAACAAATCTATAGAGTGTCACACCTTCCCTGATATCCTCAAAAAAGCAAGAGTAACGCCAGTCCATAAAGGAGGCAATCCGGCGGACATAAACAATTATAGACCAATATCAAATCTACCCATTCTATCAAAAATATTTGAAAAAATTATTTACAAACAGCTCTATTCCTACCTCGTAAAATTCGACATACTCACCCCCTGCCAGTTTGGCTTCCGGTCCCAAAAGAGTACCAATGATGCAATCATTAGTCTCCTTGACATTATCTACTCAGCCCTTGACAAAAATGAGTTTCCGATTGGACTCTTCATTGACCTAAGAAAAGCCTTTGATACTGTTAATCACAACTACCTCTTATTTAAACTCCAGCATTATGGAATCCGAGGCCTTGCCCTTGACTACATCCGATCCTATCTTAGTGACAGACACCAATATGTAACCATCAATGACACAACTTCTTCCACTCTACCAATTACCGTTGGAGTGCCACAGGGCAGCATCTTAGGACCTCTTCTATTTCTTATATATATAAACGATCTGCCTAATGTCTCTAATATTCTCAAACCTATATTGTTTGCTGACGATACTACCCTTATCTACTCAAACCTCAACCCACATACACTAAATAATGTTGTGAATAATGAATTAAAAAAAGTCCACTTATGGATGTCAACGAACAAACTAACATTAAACATCGAAAAGACTTACTACATCTTATTTGGAAGCAAATCATCAAATGCAATTCAGCTACAGATAGACAACATTAACATCAGTAATAAAAATGATGGCAAGTTTCTTGGCCTATTCCTAGACAAGAGACTCAACTTCAGCACCCACATTCAACACATAACTAAGAAAGTCTCTAAAACAGTTGGTATACTCTCCAAAATCAGATATTATGTTCCCAACTCTGCTCTCCTCTCACTATATTATGCACTAATCTACCCCTATCTTAATTATGGTATCTGTGCATGGGGGTCTACCACTGCAAACCACCTTAAGCCCATCATCACACAGCAAAAATCTGCTATCAGAATAATAACTAACTCTGCTTTCAGACAACACTCAGCTCCCTTGTTTAAATCTCTAAACTTGCTAAATATTAACTCCCTCCACACATTCTCTTGTGTCAACTACATTTACAAAACCCTATTCTTAAATGCAAACCATGCTCTGAAACTCTCCCTGGACAGATGTAATAGGACCCATTATCACCACACCAGAAATAAATATCTCTTTGATATCCCCAGGGTCAAACTTAATCTGTGTAAACACTCTATGCAAATTAAGGGACCTAGTCTATGGAACTCACTCCCTAGTGAATTGAAAAACTGTAAAACTTTTGCCTTATTTAAAAGCAAAACCAAAAAGTACCTAACTTCATCTATTTAGTTTCCTACACTGAGCTTTAAATTTGCTCTGTACCTAGTGGTACCCAATCTCCTAATTTTTATGTAATATCAAACAACCTTATCATTGTGTTCATTGCTGTCTTCTTTTATGTGCTAGCCATATGCTGTATTGTGACTACCAATTTTTGTCAACTACCATTCAAGCTGTCATTGCAATCAATCTTATATTGTTTCTGCTGTATTGTGCCTACCAATTTGTTGTCAACTACCATTTTAAGCTGTCATTGCAATCAATCATAGCTACCTATGTGCTTTAATATACTGTACCTATAATTTTCTCTCATCTTTTTTTTTTTTTTCATTCCATGTAATCTGTTATCATTTTTTTGTCTATAAATTTTGCAAGTATTTACCTCCTTAAAATTTTCTTAGATTAAGGACCTGCCCGAAACGCTGCGCGTGCTAGTGGCTTTACAAGACTGTAATTACCATAATTGTATCCTCACATTCCTTATGTACATTCTTGTATATGCATAAATAAATAAATAAATAAATAAACAACAGTATAAGCCGTGCGCTAAGCACGTCAGCCCACATTTAATATCTATATAATAATAATAATAATAATATTAATATTAATATTAATATGTCTAATGTTTATTCAAGTAAAAGTAAATACATTCAAAAAGTTACAAGCAGAATGTTGGACTTCTCGATAAAGCTAGTACATACTATGCTTAAAGCCACTAATACACACAGCATTTCGGACATCTACCTACAATGATTGTAGTGTAGATATTTTGATATGATTTTGCAATATGAAAGTTAAAATAAACTTATTTAATTCATTCAATTGTTTAAGGATAAATAGCCTCGCATATCTGAAAAATACGTTTGTATTATTATAATATAATGCACTCATGTGCCATCTTATTATTCACGATTTTAACTTTTTCTCAATTTCTATTGGACATTTTATTATCTTGGCAGATGCGAACCGAAGCGAACACACGCCAGCGCATGTGAATACATGGAATGACTCCACACGCATTATGCTTCATACAGTGAATATTGGTAACGTATCATATTATCATTTTTTAATATATATATATATATATATATATATATATATATATATATATATATATATATATATATATATATATATATATATATATATATATATATATATATATATATATATATATATATATGTCGTACCTAGTAGCCAGAACTCACTTCTCAGCCTACTATTCAAGGCCCGATTTGCCTAATAAGCCAAGTTTTCCTGAATTAATATATTTACTATAATTTTTTTCTTATGAAATGATAAAGCAACCCTTTTCTCTATGTATGAGGTCAATTTTTTTTATTGGAGTTAAAATTAACGTAGATATATGACCGAACCTAACCAACCCTACCTAACCTAACCTAACCTATATTTATAGGTAAGGTTAGGTTAGGTAGCCAAAAAAAGCTAGGTTAGGTTAGGTTAGGTAGGTTAGGTAGACGAAAAAACATTAATTAATGAAAACTTGGCTTATTAGGCAAATCGGGCCTTGAATAGTAGGCTGAGAAGTGCGTTCTGGCTATTAGGTACGACATATATATATATATATATATATATATATATATATATATATATATATATATATATATATATATATATATATATATATATATATATATATATAGAGAGAGAGAGAGAGAGAGAGAGAGAGAGAGAGAGAGAGAGAGAGAGAGAGAGAGAGAGAGAGAGAGAGAGAGAGAGAGAAATAATGTTAATAAAACAATTAACGTCGTGTAGTGTACTCTATATATATCAAAATATATTTGAAACCCGTATCAGTCACTAAAGAAAAAATTGGGCTACTCTTATTACAAATTCGCTACTTTGAGCAACTTGGACCTGGCAACGCTGCCTCCCAGTGTTTACAACAGCGTCAACACGTGAGGACACACACACCGCCTTGTGGTGTGGCAAGTCTCTCTCTAACACACACCTTTGTTTTAGCCTCCTCTGTCTACAGCACTTTTGGAACACTTAAGCTCAACATATACGTGTCTCCCAACATCTGTACTGGTGCAGTCATCGGGAGGATAAACGTTTCATGCAAACTGCACTATCTAGAAGAAGGAGGGTTTTATGCTGTGTTCAGTATTTAGGCACTAATCGTCGGGGGTTATGTACGTACATCTGGATTGACTAGGTAAGTAGGTCTAGTGCTGTAGCCGTCACAACCTCCTATAACATAATAGTCCCCGTGGTGCAGTGGTAAGACACTCGCCTGGCGTTCCGCGAGCGCTTTGTCATGGGTTCGTATCCTGGCCGAGAAGGATTTACTGGGCACAAATCCTTAACTGTAGCCTCTGTTTAACTCAACAGTAAAATGTGTACTTGGTTGTAAAAACGATTCTTCGCGGCAGGGATCGTATTCCAGGGACCTGCCCGAAACGCTACGCGTACTAGTGGCTGTACAAGAATGTAACAACTCTTGTATATATCTCGAAAAAATAGCATAATAACATAATACTATTAAGTTTTAGTGTAAGTGTTTTTCCCCCACCTCACCTTGCCCGAAACGCAATGCGTACTAGTGGCTTTAGGTATTGTATGTACTACCTCTATCTTTAAATCAAACAGAATGTTTGTACTGTAACACTGCAACTATGTATGTACTTTTCCTAAATAAATTATTATTATTATTATTATAGCATTTATGCATTAGGAGAGACTGGGACTGCCCAACCACTTGGGCTGGACGGTAGAGCGATGGTGTCGCTTCATGAAGGTCAGCGTTCAATGCTCGATCGTCCAAGTGGTTGGGCACCATTCCTTTCCCCCGTCCCATACCAAAGCCTTGTCTTAACCCCTTCCAAGTGCCATGTAGTCATAAGTTCTTTTTCTTGATAATTAAATTATCTTAATTGTCAGCTTTTTTCAGGTGTAACTCTGTTAACTCAAGCAGGGTTCTGCAAAATCCCAGGGAAATTAGGTGTTCTGCAAGAGATAGTGATAACTTGGCTAATTCTAATCATGTGCAAATGTTATTTTAAGTTATTTTTGTGTTAATTTCGTATCATTTAACTAGGATTAAGAGCAAATACAGAACTTTTTCCTTTCAGTTGACAATGAAATCCATGTTTTTTTTCTAATGTACGATCCAAAATTACTTCAAAGGATCGAAAGGTTGAGAAACTGTGGGTTAACTTGTGGTTCAAAGTGTGGATGTGGTAGACATCTAGCACTTGCATTACCAGGAGGGTTCACTGGGAGATGTTAATGATTATATCCCATGTTAAGCACATTGTGTTTTTTTTTATTAGGCAAAGGGAGGGGGGGGTTCTAGATCTCTTCACTTCAGCCCAACCTCTTGGGCTGAACGGTAGAGCAACGGTCTCGCTTCATGCAGGTCGGCGTTCAATCCCCGACTGTCCAAGTGGTTGGGCACCATTCCTTCCCCCCCGTCCCATCCCATATATTCTTATCCTTATCCCTTCCCAGTGCTATATAGTTGTAATGGCTTGGCATTTTCCCCTGATAGCTCCCTCCCTTCACTTCACCCAACAGTAATTTGGTACCTAGTTATTAACCAATTAGTGGGCTGTGTTCAAGGGAAAGCCAGTAGGGTAAGGCTTACCATGAGTTCTGGAAAAGCAAAGCTGTCAGCCTGCTAACAGGAGTCAGAAATCATCTGCTTCTATACCCACCTGTGTAAAAAAAAAAAAAAAATGGGTTTATCTAATAGCATTAAACAAATATTGTTTTGTTTGCAAATATTGTCATTGAAATCATACATTTATGAAATAAAATGTTAAATAATCTTATCCATTGCATTGTCAATAAAATTGTCTTACCTGATGCATATTCAACTTAAAATATATCATAAACAAATAATAAATTCTTATGTGTTTTTGTATCACTTAAAACATACATTGAATATACAGTACTTTATTTATTATGAAATAATGTCACCAGTCTTGACCAAAGATTATATTTTTTTTTTTTTTTTTTTTTTTGAGATATATACAAGAGTTGTTACATTCTTGTACAGCCACTAGTACGCGTAGCGTTTCGGGCAGGTCCCTGGAATACGATCCCCGCCGCGAAGAATCGTTGTTACAACCAAGTACACATTTTACTGTTGCGTTAAACAGAGGCTACAGTTAAGGAATTGCGCCCAGTAAATCCTCCCCGGCCAGGATACGAACCCATGACATAGCGCTCGCGGAACGCCAGGCGAGTGTCTTACCACTGCACCACGGAGACTGTTCTTCATTCTTATAAGATTATATATATTAGTTATATACAGTAGTATGTTTTATTTTTACAGGGGGAGACTCTAAGCTTAGCCAGATCATATTAAGATGGTGAAACGAAAATTAGACAATCGTATTCGAATTCTCATTGAAAATGGAGCTGCACTCGGACACAGGACCCTTGTGGTGTTGGTGGGAGACAAGAGTCGTGACCAGGTATAACAATATTAATGTTTTATATACTAGAAATGTATTTTCTGAGGTACTGTACAGTACAACCTTGATGCATTTCCCATGCCTTTGTTACACCATAAATGATTTTTATTTAATATATTCATTGATACAAATAGAGTTCACACACAATTAGGTGGCAACAGTCTGTTGGTCCTTGATAATAGGAAAGCTTTCGCATAAGGTGCTAATGTTCACATGTTGAGCAGACATCATATCGTGTCAGATGACCTTGCCCTCTGCTAAGCTGATAATTGCAGACGGTTTCCTGTATCTTTCCATCAATCAAGCCACTGTCTAGGTGTGATAGCAAGATAGGTGGAGTTTACTGCCTAGCTACCCCTTATATACTCAAGCAGTTGTACAGAGGATAGATATAGGGGGTCCTTGCTCCACACAGAGGATCCTCGCTCAATAGGCCAGATACTACACAGGCCTCTCCCAGGTTGGAGAGGGCCTTGACTGCCAGCCATATCCCCTCCTTTCCCCTCTGTAACCAACTTATACTCAGAAACCTAAGTGATATATTCTGTGCTTCCTGAATTACTGTATCTGTTGTGAAATCTCCAGGGGCTAGTCAGCAGTATTTGCTCTCAATTTCATGTGTAGCAACTGATTCTGAATTAATATTGAATATGATTAAAGTCAAGAAAATATATAAATCCATCATTATTCCTGCATCACCATGAACCTATATAATAAATTAATACTCTCTTGAAGTCATTTTTAATTATCATTAATTCAGATCTAACCTAAAATCTTGGATCCATTTCTTGACTGATGAAAGCTAGAGTGGAGAGCACTCTGAAGATTATGACTTGGCATTTAAATTTGTTTTATAGTGTTGCAGTTTCTTACCTGTTAACATTGATTATAGAAGTGAGTTTCATTCATTATCTTGTAAACTTCTTAATGGATGGTGGCAATACTCTCTTTCTACTCATTATACTCTTCTACCCATCTGTCTTTCTTACTTAGTCGACCCTGCATTGCATTGTCTCTCCTTCTAAACTTTCTCTTACACCCAACAATAATATCTCACAATGAACTGTGTAATTACTGATCAAGACTGTCATTTACTGAGCCTCTGGCTAACATCCTTCTTCAATATTGTGTCAATAAATATTGTAATACAAACCATTGTTTAGAGTATCACATAACTTTGATCCATGGGACAAACAGTTTGCAAATTCAACGATCTCCTCACACTGGTATGTGAGGTGATGTTGGAAGTTGTTGTTGTTGTTTAAGATATGCTACTTGGAATAAAAAGCTTCAAGCAGCACGGGGTATGGTGAGCCCGTAGAGTTGGAAGATATTTGTCTGTCTTCTTACAGCCTTACCCATGACCTAACCCAATTACTTGTCTGACAAACATTCTTAAATTTCATGAGATTTCTTATTTAAAAATCCAGTGATATGTGGAATGTAAGTGATGTACTCTTTATCATGTTAATCATCACCATATTGTATTATACTTTTTTCTTTGCATTAGGTTGTGTTTTTGCATCACATGCTCTCCAAGTCAAACCTAAAGCAGGCTAATGTTCTCTGGTGCTACAAGAAAGAGCTGACTTTCTCCTCCCACCGGAGAAAGAGAATAAAGCAGCTGAAAGCCAGAATGAGAGCTGGTCAGGCAGAGATGAATGAGGACGATCCTTTTGAAATGTTTGTGTCTATGACTGACATCAGATACTGCTTCTACAAGGAAACTCACAAGATACTTGGAAACACTTACAAGATGTGTGTACTACAGGTTAGTTCAAGTTCAAGTAAGTTTATTAATATAAGAAAAATGTCCCAAAAAGATAGTGGCTTAGGCTATGTCTTCCCTCCTCTACAGGTTAGTTAATGTTTTAAATTGAAAGGAGACATCAGTGGAAGCTAAATACACAGTTGTGGTGTAGAAGTTTAAGGGAATAATTCTACTGGTTGGCAAATGGAATGTATTGAAGGAAGAAGTTGTAGCAGCTACATTCATTCACAATTTCAAGAAAAATATGATAAAAAATTGAACATTGAGAGATGTAATTAGTGCACCAGATGCAAAAGGGCTAGGAGGTGGGGGCACAAAGAGCTAGATCTCACTCCCCTGTAGCCACTGGTAGGCAAGGACTACACCATATTTATTACATTCTGTGTTCATTGCACCACCCTACATTTATTTAATCTCTCTGCATTCATTACAAAACCCTATCTTTAGTACCTCATCCTATACTGTACTCACTGTACTTTCCACACTCATTGCATCAGCTGTATTGTACTCATTACACCACTATACTAATTACACCCACTGTATGTATATACCCGCACTTTATATTATTATGTATTCCAGCCTGTAAATACATTCTCGATTGTCATTATGCCTTCAAACCACATTTAGTTATTGTATTATATGTGAATTTTTCTACTCTATAGATTATCTCATTAGTTATGAAGATTGTATTTTAATTACCATAGGAAGCAGTCTAATTAGGACAGTTTAGTAGACATACAGTGTCTGTACTTTGTGTATGTTTCTTGTCTACGTTCACTCATATTTTATACATTTCCAGGACTTTGAAGCCCTGACTCCCAACATCTTGTGCCGCACCATGGAAACTGTGGAAGGAGGTGGAGTCATTGTGATTCTCCTTCAGACTATGACTTCGCTGCGGCAGCTGTATGCACTCAGCATGGATGTTCACTCTCGGTACCGCACGGAGGCTCACCAGTATGTTGTACCCAGGTTCAATGAAAGGTATGAGCATTACAAACTAAATTTGCCTAAAGATGTTTTCTGATTTTGCTAATTATTACTTTCTCATGTAACTTGTTGAGCTACATTGTTAAATACAGTATTTAAAATGCAAGCATATGTTTTAATGCCATCTTCTACTCTGCATTCTCAGTACAAAATAGTTAATCCCCTGTTTGGGAATAAAAAACTTTTAAATGGTGGAAACCACCCAGTGATAGTGGGATACTGAAAATGTGTTGGCCTAGCAAAAATATACTGTAATGCATAGATTAAAATCAGAGATATTAGAGATACTCATGGGCTTAACCATCTCCACTATCATAACAATCTTTTCCCACATTCAGTTACAAATTTTCTCTCACATTTCAATACAATTTGAAACTATGAAATTCATGTTAATTCTCTGCTAAAAGAATGCTAATCATCTGCATACTTAAACTTTCACATGCATCAATTACTTATATTCGGCCTATAAACTAGGTTTATAACCCTTTTAGCAAATTTATTTTCTCCCTCATGACCTCATCCTTGTATATACTGAATAACCAGGGTGACATAACACAACCTGATATATATCCACATTAACATTAAACTAGTTAACCCAGTCACCAATAACTCTTTCACACGCAGTATTACCTGTGTTGAAACTTTTCAATCATTTAACAACACTGCCAACCTCATGTATGATTATCACTCTCCAAAGTCTTTATTAATTTTGTTATTTACTTTTTCCGAGGCCATTACTGCCACGTACACTTGACAATTTCTGTATGCTATCTTAATGCAAATATCTGATCTACATTCCCTCTTCCACCAAAAAACGTACCTTGTTCATCACTGATAATTTGTTCAGTCATTTTCTGTACTCGGCTGATTGCTATCCTATCCTACTAGCCTTCCTTACACTTTGCCCACTACACTTAGCAAACTAATGTCTCTACAACACTTACACTAAATATGTTCTTTACTCTGTAATACAGTGGTATAATCACTGCTCTTTTCTCTTTATCCACTTCATTCAGTCTTCTTCACAATGTTTCATAATTTCTGCATATATGTCATCAGCACCTGCAGCTTTCCCACCTTTCATCTTCACTGACGTTCTCACCTTCTCTATGGATATATCATCTATGGATATATCATCTATGGATATATCATCTATGGATATATCATCTATGGATATATCATCTATGAATATATTGTCTTGCACTCTTCTCACACAGGTCAAAGCATGTTTATATTATCACCTCCATCACTATGCTTTATACTTTCAAAACATGCTCTCTGCCAACTTTTTATAATTTAATATTGTTCTATGTCTATCTTTAACATTCTCATTTACCTGTCCACCAGTCTCCATGCTACACTTTCCAAACAAATTTAATTTTTTGTAATAGTTTCTTAACATATTCTCCATCTTCTCATTCACTATTAGTTCTGCCTACACTATTTATGATATTATATTTAATATTTATTTAATGATATGTTACATAGGTCCAATGAACTTCAGTCTTGGTCTGCCAGTAGGAAGATATTTTCTCTGAAAATGTATACTTCTGGTCATATCATTGACATGTTAACCAAACCTAGATTTAATTATGTTACCTGAGCCAAATGGACATTAGTTCCCTGTTGATATATAGTAGTTCAGTTCAACACATCCACTGACAGCTGCAGCAAGATTAATAGCACTATTATTTGAGTTTCCTGGATGCAGTATTTTTATTGTTTTCTGCATGCCATATCCATTTAAGAGAACGTGGAAAATGAGATATAGAAATAGGAAAGTAGTTCTGTACTACTGTATTCTGTTTCAGATTCATCCTGTCATTGGCTTCCTGCCCTACGTGCATTGTAATGGATGATCAGCTACGTATCCTACCAGTCTCGTCTCATTTGCGAGACCTGCAACCTGTACCTCCAGTGTCTGCTCATTCCCCACTCTCTCCGCAAGACCAAGAACTCAAGGATCTTAAAGAGTCACTTAAGGATAACCCTCCAGTTGGACTGTTGGTGGATCTGTGTAAAACACTAGATCAGGTATACTGTATATTATTTACAGTGCTGTATTTCTTAAGGGCATAGAGTGGTATCATAATCATAACTTTACTAATAAATGTTGAAAACTAAACCACACATCAGAAGATGAGGAGACGACGTTTTGGTCCATTCTGGACCATTATTAAGTCAGTTGTGATAATGGTCCAATCGACTTGATAATGGTCCAGGACGGATCGAAATGTCGTCATCTCATCTTCTGGTGTGTGGTTTAGTTCTCGTATCTTCAAGCTGCATTATTGTAACTCATCGTCTGCACTAATAAATGTTCTTTCTGTACATTTATAATTGATTTAGTTTACACATTTTCAGTAAACTTAAGGGAAAGTCATAATAATCACGTAACAAGAAATATCTGTGCTGTAGTTATAAACTGTATACTCAATGATTATAAAACTATTACTGTTGTCAGATTCAGAATCAGAAATTATTTCCATAACAACTTATACAAATCATTAAAATAATGGCAAAACTAAACAGGTTTACATAAATCTAAATCAAACTCTACATTTTGTAGAGTTTATGGTATATGTATGCTTACCTAACCTTTTATGGACATTTAAATCCTTGCTATATAGTCTTACTGACTTACTGCTTTCTTCTAATAATGACATCACATTGGAAGAATTTGTTTAAGCATTATTTGTAATTCTGCATAAGCAAAGAAACTATATATATGGTGGTAGATATGATGTTAAAGTGTGTGAAGATCTGAGTGTGCAGTGTGTAAAGTATGTGCAGTATTAAATATGATGGAAAAGTGTGTGAAGTTAGCCTTGCAAAGCTGTCAGTATAAATAATTATGTTTTTCTGAATCAATTTTGTATGATTTTATCTTAATCACATAATTTTGTTGTTGCAATAAATGAGAAACTAAATAATTATTCATTGCATCTGCTTAATTATACTGGTCCCATCTGTTGCAGCAGCAGGTCAGCAATAATTTCAATATTTGCTATTTTAGAGACAATTCTTGTTTTTATTGGTTTAAATGATAAGCACATTTTGTGCAGGTTACGGTACCCAATGCACTTGTAAAAAGGTACAAATTTAATATTTAAATGAATCTTTTAATATTTGTCTATACTGAATTCCCCATGCAGCTCTGCTTAGGTAGCAAGGATTGTTTTTTTTTTCTGTTATATCTTAGTTCATTTACTGTACACTCAAAGCTTTATTTAATTTTTTCAGGCTAAATCTGTGCTACAGTTTATTGTGGCCATCACAGAGAAAACACTGAGAACTACAGTGACACTGACTGCTAGCAGAGGGCGAGGAAAGTCCGCAGCACTAGGGTTATCAATAGGTTTGTAGCTATGTGCATGGTTTTTTCTTTGAATGACCTAACTACTGGGAATATATTGAAGCTATATAATGTGATCAAACCTGAATTCTGTGAGCTCCTCAGGCACATACACACACACTACCAACTGGGCCATGTTGGACTTTAAAAGTCCAGTATCTCCACCATAAGTACTAATTGTCTTAGCTGCTTCTTACCTTTTACCTTTTCTACTTGAGAGCATCACTTGTTAGGCTTTATTCTACGTTTGCCACTTTTCTGTTTGGCGTTTGCCACTTTTTTGTTGGGTGTTTGCCACTTTTCTTTCCCAAAGAAAAGTGGCAAACACCCAACAGAAAAGTGGCAAATGCCCAACAGAAAAGTGGCAAACGTCCAACAGAAACGTGGCAAATGCCAAACAGAAAAGTCCCAACAAAAAATCTAAAATGCCAAACAAACAAAACATCCCAAGTGTCCAACTAAAAAGTGGCAAATGACCAACAGGAAATTCTCACTTTTCTGTTTGGCGTTTGCCACTTTTCTCTTGGGAGTTTGCCACTTTCCTGTTAGGCATTCGTCGGTCGTCAGTTGGGTAGCCAGCGCAGAGGATCTGGGTCTTCCCCTCCCCCCTCCCGTGAAGGGGGGAGTGGCACAGACAATGGCATGGCGGCTGTGGTGATGTCATGCTGGTTTGCTTGTTTTCTGATTGGGGACTTCTGTTTTCTCGTTCGGCTTTTGGGTTGCAATTTTCACCACTGTAGTTTATTTTGTGACTCCTACCTTTCTGGGTGCCTGACCTGGTAGATGGCAGACATAGATTGCTTCCAACTACATGGGAGTGTCTATAAGCTATTGCTCCTCGTGCATCTCTGAGGGGGCCAGGTTCTGGCTTGTTGGACCCAGCAGACATAGAACCCCATCGATTGACTGTTGCCACGGTCTAATATATACACATCAGCCCAGTGTAGCTCCGGGGAGCTTCCAGGTCTCGCCCAGAAAATGGCATTTCATTACATTCAACTCTGTTTTTTTTTATATAGTCTCTATTTTAATTCTATTTATATTTCATTGAATGTTAATAAGTTCTTTTGCAGTAATTTTTACACATGGTATTTAGCCAACTTACTGTGTTTTATTGCCATATTATTAAGGAACTGCAGTGTAAACTGTTCATATTTTTGTATTTTCAGCTGGTGCCATTGCTTTTGGCTATTCCAACATCTTTGTTTCTTCTCCAAGCCCTGAGAACCTGAACACCCTCTTTGAGTTTGTTCTGAAAGGTTTAAATATAATGGGTTATGAAGAACACATGAATTATCAGGTTCTGCGTTCATCGGACCCACAGTTCAGCAAGTGTGTGATGAGGGTGGTGGTGACTCGTGACAGGCAGCAAGTAGTCCAGGTTGGTTACACTCGTTATGGTGATATATTATCTGTTGTCAGGTGATTATGGTGATATATTATCTGTTGTCAGGTGTATATAGAGAGAATACACAGAATAATCACACTAACATGATGTGTCAATGAGAAAATCTATAGGAGCCGTGTTGAGGATTCGAACCTATGCAGTGGGTGTTCTGACTCGCACGCCCCAGTCGTGTGTCGTGGCCTAGTTAACTAGAGCGTGTGCGTGGGAACACCCATTGCATAGGCTCGAACCCTCATCACGACTCCTACAGATTTTATCACAGAGAGAATGTTAAGAAGTGTGTATAAATATTATAAATAAGAAATAAGATTAAAGGACTGTATTTCAGGATTTACCATCAATTAATGGGCAAATAATCAGTTATTTGGATCACTAGAATGTCGCTTAATTCATTCCTTGTATCACGAAGAATGAATTAAGACCGAGTACTGGATTAGATATCGGCATTTTAAATTTCTAAGAACAAAATCTAATAAAATGTAATATTTACAGTACATTACTCCTAATGAGAGCAGCAGTCTTGGCCAAGCTGAGCTGGTAGTTATTGATGAAGCCGCTGCCATTCCCCTTCCACTGGTTCGCAAACTGTTGGGGCCATACCTGGTGTTCTTGTCATCTACTGTGTCTGGCTATGAAGGCACTGGCAGATCCCTCTCTCTCAAGTTGATTGATCAGCTCCGAAATCAGGCCAAAGGCACAGCTACACAAGATAATTCTGCTGAGAAAAAGACTCCTACAGCAGAGCTGGGTAGAGTTTTGCATGAGGTATCTTACTAATAGAAATTAATGTAGTTGTAGAGTTAAACTTCAATTTCATCATTTCACAAGACAATTAAATATATATTTGAATATTTTTATAATTTACTTATATTATATGTACAATATTCATTATCTGATTGGAATACCAAATTATTTATAATGTTGATAAAAGAAAAATAATATTTTTCCATACCAAAGCTTTTCTATTTATTATATTTACTTTTTAATAGGTCACCTTAGACGAGTCGATTCGATATAAGATGGGTGATCCAGTTGAATCTTGGCTACATCAGCTGCTGTGCCTCGAGGCCTCCCTCTCTACCCTCCCCACCAACCCACCGCCAGCTAACCAATGTCAGCTGTTTTATGTCAACAGAGATACGCTTTTTGGCTACCATAAGGTCAGGAATATAGGTGGTGGCACACAAATTTTTTAAGAATTCCCTGAAATATATGACATATTGAAGGCAGGCTCAAAATTGGAATATAAAGTGTTATCCACAGTCCAGTGTAACAGTATTCATACCATTTTTAAGTCATACACTGGTTTACATCTTCACCTCACAACCGAGGGTCTTGCGTTAAATTTCCAGGCAGGACAGAGACGGTTGGGCACGATTCCATTTACCTGAGGTCTCTGTTCTCCAGGCCTCGGAAAATCCAGATAATGGTAGAAAGATGGTGTGACATCATTGTAGGGTAGGTCAGGCTGGCTGTGAGGAAGCTTCAAGAATCTATTCACATAAACGCCACTTAACTTGTAATATCTATCAGCTTTTCTGTATTGATTCTTTCATTAATAAGCATTCTATCACTCAAATCTTTCTCTGTATTTAAGTTGGGATAACATGGGTAGTTTATTGGCCAAGAAAATTATGAAAGCATTACCTAGCAGGCGACACGTTGGGATCAATCTTACATCATGACCAAAACACCCCCTCACTTATGCCGTATGATTCATATTTGCTATTATTTATTGCACCCGACATCAGAAAATTGTGCATTTGTGATAAAATTGTGTGTATTACTTGACTTGGTGAGGGCCAGCAGTGGTTTGTGCCCTATGGTGGCAAGCACATAGCAAGGCTCATAGCTAGACAAGCTCATAGCTGGTCAATTATTTACTAACTTCTTATTGCTGAAAATTGTATATAAACATGATATTTACATGTTACTTATGACTCATATTAATGAACATTGTTTCTCCCTTATATAACTATTTATGATACGATAACATGAATAAATTTCTTTGACCAAACAAATAAGTAAAACATTACTGTACCTAGCAAACAACATTTTGTGATCAACTGTACATCGTGACCAAAATGCTCCCCCTCCCACTCATTAAGTACGGCACAAATTTGCTACTATTTATTGTCTCCTAGCATTAGAAAACCATGTATGTGTTGTATTACATTATTTTATGTATTTTGTCGTATTACAGTATTATATTAAGATAAAATAGTTTTGATGGCTTGATATAACTTGAGTGAGGAAGAGAGAGGTGGCAGAGAACCCTGGTTAATGTTAGTGCTGCTGGTGGAATGAAGCGTCCCAGTTACCACCACAGCCTTTGTTATGTGATGCAAATTTTGTGTTATTTATAGATTCTGACATAACAAAACTGTATGTTGTCCAATTTTTATTTACTTTGTGATGAAAGTGTAGAAGGATTAATTACTGAGTATGGAAGTGTTAAATGAAACTGCAGTTACAGGCAACTCCCACCATCCCCCCCCCCCCCAGCACTCTCTCCAGTCATTATGTTGTCATCCCTTACTTTATAAAAATGATAGCATGTGTCATTACACTCCTCATTTGGTTCAAATGAATATATTGGTCAGAATGCCTGTCCCTACCTCCTCATCACAATCGACTTGAGAATGGTCCAGGACGGACCGAAACGTCGTCATCCCTTCAATTTCTAGTGTGTGGTCTGGTCAACAAATATTGGTCAGAAATTGTATATTTTCGTAGCAGTTGAATGTTACTTACGATTCGTATGATAAAAAGCATTATATTTCTACCATCTTTCATGTTATTTTGGATAGCATAGCATATTATATGCGAGAGGCATTATGCTGAATTTTGACATTAATACGAAAAATGTTTCTTTTTGTATTCCAGGTATCAGAGAAATTTTTAAAGCAAGTGATGGGGCTGCTAGTGTCCTCCCACTACCGTAACACACCAGACGACTTACAGATACTGTCTGACGCTCCAGCACACCACCTCTACGTGTTGCTCCCTCCACAAGCTGAAACAAAGGGGGAATCCCTGCCCTTAGTTCTTTGCGTTGTTCAGGTAAGGCTAGTTTTCTTTAAAATAACCTCGGTTATCTTTGTTGCCAGTTGTGTAGGCAAACATTAGGTATTTTATCATGTAGTCATGGTCTAGATATGAAATTTTGTAGACATTAAATTTTAGATGATCCAACAGCTGATAGGAAAATATATTAATGCAAAGTTATGCTAATTAGCAAAGTTAATTAGCACTTGAAGAACTATTAGAATGGTGAATAGTGCACTTCTGCTATAAAGAAAGAAATTTAAATTATTAGATTTTAATTATTTGTAAAATATGTCAACTCTCCTAGTGAGCTTCACCTTATTGCAATTTACAAGCAGTTCTTTAGAAGACTAATATTAGCTCTTGAAGATGTTATATACAGCGATATATTAAATTGACTCCACGATCTGCTGGAGATTTAACTCCTGTCACTCCTACACCTAGAGAAAACTTACACCATATTTCAACTTAGCTCAGGCGGGATTTCTTCACTTAGTTACCATCATGGTATTAAGTTTAATATAAAATTTTAAACCAAAAACATGCTGTACATGTTTGTAGAAATATATGTTCAATGTTCTGTGATCATACTCTGTATCATATTCCCTCAGTGTTCTCTGGTTATATATTGTACTCTGTACCATCTTCCTTTGGGGCTAAGTTTTAAGTAAATATTATACATTTCAATAGGACACAAGGTCTCCAGACACTCAATCCGTGCACAGCCAGGTGTTGTACCTGTTTATTAACAGGTACAACACCTGGCTGTACACCAAAATAAACAGGTACCTGTTTATTTTGAATATTAGAGAAAATCTTATTAAACATTAGAGAAATATCTTACTGAAACTCTTATTGAATATTAGAGAAATACAGTATCCTATATTGTGCATAACAAAAAATAGTTCACAAAAGTTAAAAAAAAAAGTGTGCCAATTTGAGTGCCGAAGGTAATCACAGGTAGTGATTGGAGCCAATATGTAATTTGCCCGTAGGTAGCACTGGAAGGCAAGATCTCCAAATCTTCAGTGGTGTCTGCACTTGCTCAAGGAGAGAAGCCTGCAGGTGACCTGATTCCATGGACAGTTAGTAATCAGTTCCAGAACTATGACTTCCCTCAGCTCTCTGGAGCCCGGATTGTTCGCATTGCTACCCATCCGAACATGCAGGGGGTAAGTATACTCTACTTGTCTGACAAAGCACTTAAGAAAATGATCTTCATTTATTGATTTCAGTTTATGTGGAAGTCATCATAAATTAATATTTAGCATGCATTTTAGTAGTTTAGTCAGGGATTCCACTGGCACATGTTTCGATATGACATACAATTTGTTTGTACAAGTATGTGTCATTTTCACTTTAACGTTCAGTCAGAAATCAGTTATGGTGTTCCACTACTTGCATGGTATTTTAGCCTTTACCCTAGACCCTCCAGTAAATAATATATTCAAACTTATGTTTCAACCATTGGGCCATATGTCACGAAAGAAGATAATTTTCAGGCAGTTAGACTTACTGACTCTTAAGGCATTACCAACTTTCTTAAAAATGCTACATTTTTCCATTTCATTATCTTTAATTTTACTTATACAATTTGTCCAACACTTGTTATGAATGGACGAGGAGAGCCAATATAACCTATGTGGCTGAGAGGGCCATCAGCAACCCAATGAACCAAGTATGAGTGTGACTCGGCCCAGATCTCATGACCATAGCAATCAGATCCACAGTCTGCCCATAACTCTTCCAATTTATAGCAAAAAGGAAAATCTAGAAGGTTCAGTGAGTGGATAAAGTTACTATAGTATAATCAAGTTGTTGGGCATCATGAGTATGACTGAAAAATGCAAGAACAATTGCCGGAGGGGTCGTGTGGAGTAGATAACAAATTTTGCATGTTATTAGAGGAGTGGATAGTAAAGGGAATCTTGTAATAAAATGTTCATTACTGGTAGTTGTGATGGTATCAGTCAGTATCCAAAGCTTTTTCTAAATATGTAGTTTGATACACTTGGCCCAATGTAGTTAGACAAAGATCAATTACTGAAGACATATGTATTGTTTATATATGATAGGAGGTAATATTAAGTTGCAAAACTTGCTGATACAAAGGTCAGATGCCACTAAAGTGAACAAAATTAAAGGTGTGATATCCAAACCACACGTCAGAAAATGACAAAATGACAGTGTTTCGGTCCGTCCTAAACCATTATCTATTTATGTAATAGAAAAAGAGTGGAAGAGATAAACAAAATGAGGGAAGAGAATGAGATGAATGAAAGAGAAAGATGATGAAGAGTACAACTATACTCTTCCCAGCTTGGTGCTTTCTTATGATAACTGCTTCCTTTATGACTGCAACTAACACTAAGGGAATTCAGTACTGTACATCATCATCTTCACCAAATTTGTATAAACAACTCAAAATTGTTTTTATCATTTATCAGCAAGGATATGGGAGCCGAGCATTATCTCAGCTTAATGACTACTATGCTCAAGCAGCAGTCCATGCAGACTACATGGACACCCCAACACCAGATGCCAAGCTTCCAAATTTAATACAAGAGGACCAGGTCAGTTAAAATTGTAACCATTTTGATGTCTTACAATATTTGTTCACAGTATTTCAATTTTTCCTTTAAATTTTGTGTCACTTCCTGTTCAGTAATCTTGTGTTAGCAAACTTTTGAATGGAATAATGCAGAAAGAAAACTTTCATAATTACTTAAACCCTGATTTTTGTAAATTCATCTACTGTACAGTAAAAATGTGTTTTCTTTAAATTGCCTCACTGTACTGTATATTAAATCATCTTTTTTAGTAATCGGTTGCAGTACAAGGTAGAAGAACACTATTTCATTGGTGCTGATACTAATCGGTGTTGATAAACCTCGGGAATCCTCGAGGGTGCAGTAGTACCCCAAGTTGCAGTTCTTTTGACCATGTCAGGGCATAGTCATTTAGAGCGTGCATCTGGGAATACATAGGTTCAAATCCTCATCATGGCTCCTGTGAATTTTCTCATTGATACATCACGATAATGTGATTTCTCTGAGTATTATTGTTATTGTTATTGGGTTGAGCTTAATTAAGCCATGTGTTTACATAATATATGCTTACTAATAATTTGTTAGCTAACACTTTGCCAACTCTAGCATCATTTTGATGTCAAACATATACCCTTTAGACCAAGGCGTTGGAATGGAAAGTTTAAGCTTTACAGTCTTTGCCAGAGCAGACAAAGCTGATTTTTACTATTTGTTTTGCAATCAGTTTCATCTTATACTCTGCTGTGACAAAGCACAAGAGGTTATATTTCTATAAATGTTATAAATAATTGCATGTGACCATTAGGTGAAATGGATCCTAATAGACTAGAGGGACTGTAGTATTGTTTCTAATTTAAAATAGGTTGGCTTGTTGGAGGAGAAACTTGGGCCAAATGGACATCTGTTACCCCTACTGCAGTCTTTGTCAGAGCGACCAGCTGAGGCCCTCCACTACTTGGGTGTGTCTTACGGTGCCACTCAGCAACTCCTTACGTTCTGGAAACGTGCAGGCTTCTCTCCAGTGTACCTCAGGTCAGTGAATACCCGGCTCATACCAAGGGTCAGTAAATATACTCATGAATACCTTTAACTTTGGTAGGAAATGTGGCTAGGTGTAATGAGTTTTAAGATTTGTGTGAATATTTTATATTTGACACATTTTTAAATAACTCGGTATCACTTTGCACTTAGTGACATGAAGTGGTGGGATGTTGCTGGAGTAATTACCTAATTGTGATTACCTAAGTGTAGTTACAGGATGAGAGTTATGCTCATGGTATTCCGTCTTCCCAGTACTCTGTCGAATAACGCTTTGAAACTACTGACGGTTTTGGCGTCCACCAACTTCTCGCTTTGGTTATTTCAACCGTCTACCATTCTGTTGGCAAAAGAAAACTCTCTAATATTTTTTTGGCATCTTTGTTTCCTTAGCTTGAATCTGTATCCTCTTGTTCGAGAAGTTGCTGGTTCCAGAAATTCCTCCTTGTCAATTTGGTAAATTCCTGTTTAGTATTTTGTAAGTGGTGATCATATCAGCTCTCTTTCTTCAGGCTTCTAGTGTTGGCATGTTTAATACCTCTAATCTCTCCTTGTAACTTTTGTTTTTACGTTCTGGAAGCCATTTTGTAGCTTGTAGAGTGTGATGATGGTAATGCTGATGAATGTAATGATGGTATATCATATGGGAGACATGGTGAATGTTTTTTGTTGTTTAATATATTTAACCTTGTTTTCCTACATTGCTCCCAGATTTTTTCCACTCATGCTTTGCCACCTAATGGAAGTGGGAAATGGGGGTAATAATGATTATATTGTAAGGAGTCTTTTTGCAAGTGTATGCAATGTATGTGAGACTACTGTAAACTTTAGATTATATGGATTTCTCAGCACCAGTGATATTTCAGTGCAAATCTTATATACTATAACACTTATCATGCTGAATATATACAATGTTGTGTCCATTGTACACTTGAATGCCTAAAATTCAAACAGTGCAATGCCAAAATAATGAAATAAATAATGAATTCAGTTAATGAAGAGTTTATTGTACTAACAATCTGAACCTTTCCATACATCACTCTCCTATTTCCACCGAATTGATACTTCTTCACCCCCATGAAAGGTGTCCAACAAAGTGATGATAGCAAACTGTATTAATAGTTCAGTATATGTAAATGCAGCAGTAATAAATATTTTTTGCCACACCACATACTCCTTCATTTCACATTGAAACTCTTGCTTTTGTTTTTTTCATCAGCGTGTTCTTCTAAAACGTATTTGTTTCATTATCCAGTGAAGAACCAATTGTCGGCTTTTTTCCTACGTGCCTTGCTGCTATATGTCTTTTATTACGTGATCCTCTGCATATTCATATTCCCCTTACCCAAAATTAGATGTATGTGTGAAACAATGAAACATTTATACAGCTTCTGTTAGACCTTATGAAGAAAGTTCTCTATACCTATGTTGGGACATGTCTTATTTATAGCCACTGATATACAGTCCAAAATGGTATGCTGTGTTGGATTTTTTTTACTGTATTTATATTAGTGTTTCTCTGCATCATTTGATATATTTACTAACTGTATATATATGTAAATGTAAATCTGTCAGTGATATAAAACTCTTGGCCTCTCAGTGTGGTAGTTAGAACCTCAGTTTAACACTTGTATTTTTATATAACTCTACTGCACTTGTCTACATAGCATCTCACTTCAGCATGTCTTCACTCACATCCCCCCCTCCATAGAGTTCCTCACACTCTCCTTCTGCCTTGATCTATTAGCATGTCCTCAACTCCCTTTATCCTTTCCCTTTTCTAGACTAAAACAAGGCACACTGTGTTTGTTGTTAATAAGTGTCCTTCATCTCTTTCAACAGCCAGGTGTCTAACAGCATCACAGGAGAACACACTGTGATCATGCTGAAAGTTTTAGGGGAGGAGAAAGCGGATCGAACAAAATCTTGGCTGGCTGATCTCTGGTTCGATTTTAGAAAGAGACTTGTTACTCTCTTAGGCTGTGCTTTTAAGAGTTACGATTGTAAATTTGCCTTGAATATCCTTACCAACAACATCTATAAGAATGCAATAGAAGGTAAGACATGGACAATATACAGTCATACACAATAAATCGAGAGTACACAATGAAATCGCATTAACGTGATGTATCAATGAGAAAATCAGGAGTCGTCATGAGAAGGATGGTCCAGGGCATGTGCTTTAGAGTACCAAGCATGCGGGTTTGAATTCTCCTCATGACTACTCCTGATTTTCTCGAGACATGAGTTATGCTCAGCATCTTGTATTGAGAAGACTCCTGGTACTATGCACGGGGATTTTATGCCCTCCACTGTTATGTCAGTAATGTAATTTTGCTTAATATGACCAGACCTCAGTTGTACACTTTTTGTAAGTACGTAAGTGGTACTAGGCACATCTGATTTCTGAGCTAAAGCCTTTCACATGCTACCTGATCCCGAGTTTGTGGAATTGGGGTCAGCTGTAATAGAATGATTTCTCTTAGTGAGTAAAGGTTAAAAACAAAACTAATAAAGTAACAGTAAAGGCCAAGAAGGTATATGGAAATTATTGAAATTTTAGTGCATTTTGAGCTTTGGTTATTTTAATTATAGTGTAAGATTTATAAATAGTAAATGGAGGTGGTCCGTTATCTTCAGTGATGATTATTTTGCTTCCCTCATACTAACATCTGTGCATAAAGGACTGGTTTGCTACAGTACATTGTGCATAAAGACACTACAGTACATTGTGACAAATTCTGAATGATACTATAAATCAAGAGTTTGTGTAGTTTGTCATTTTTAGAATCTCTAAAATTTTTCAGTGCCAAGCTTGTTCGAGTTGGATTTGCACCTTACATCCGGAGATATAGACCGATTAGATGGGTTTGTGCGGCACCAGTGTGAGGCTCCGCTCATTGCTGATCTTGTTCCCGCACTTGCTCGCCTCTACTTTCTCAAGAAGATACCCGATTTTAAGTTAAAACCTTTGCAAGCTGTAAGTCGTACAAATGGCTAGGGATCCTTCAGGCTTCATTTCATTTTGGAGTTAGTGAAAGTGAATAAAATCTTGACTGTTTTGGTGTGCATGCACACATTCCCAGATTCACTCATGTTCAAATGTGTGAACATGATATGCATGTTAAGCATATCATTCGTGTTTCTATCAATGTTGTAATGAATGTAATTACATTTAGGCTATCCTGTGTGGGGTTGGAATCCAAAGAAAGCCTGTTCAGACCATTGCTGCTGAGCTCGGCGTGGACCACGGCATTGTTTTGAGCCAGATGCACAGCTTCATTTCTGATCTTACGAAGCAGATGGTAAATGTCGTACAAGTTTTTCAGTTAAAATAATTTTATTGTAATAAGTATTATTGGAGAGATATGCCAATATTATATATTGTTAAAAAAAATTGGGTAGAGAATAATATTGTTAATTAGGCAATGCATTAGTTTTAAGTGGCCTTCATAATATAGGTTGGATAACTGTATTAGTATAGGCTTATGGGGAAAATACTTGTAGTTGTTAAAGTAATGACTAAAACTGTAATTTGATTTTTATGAGTAGGATTTGTAAATATGTAAATATTTAATATATATAAATGTGGTAAAATTATTCACTTTTCTCAACTTTGGAACAGAAAAGAGTACAGCAGATGGCCAAAAAGAGAAGCCTTGAGAATACTGAGGAAGACTTTGGAGTGGATCACAGCATTATGAAAGACCTTACTTTTAGCATGAAGGATAGTGCTCAGGTAAGCATTGAAAAATTAAATATATTTAAGCATGCAGAAAATGTCACAATAATGTGGGTGAAAATAAATATGCCAAGTGGCAACATGTCTGGGCCCCTATTAAGCCACAACTGAGACAAACAGGAGCTCAATACAGGTCCAGGTCGGGATGAAATATTGTCACTTACTTTTCGTATGTGTGGGTTACGATAATTTAAACATATTACAACCTTGAATATTTACCTTGGAAGTATTAGGATAAACAAGGATTGTCCTGACCTATTTGCCACGTGTGAGCATGATTACTGCCTTGGTGATATCCTTATATAACACCATTTAAAGATGACCACAATCAACTTGATAATGGTCCAAGACGGACCGAAACGTCGTCGTCCCTTCATTTTCTAGTGTGTGGATTGGTCAACACCATTTAAAACTCGGATAAGTTAATGATGTAAACATTTCTGTGAACATTTTACCCTCAGAAAATGAAGGCTCGTGAAGCAGGGGACAGAGAGAAGGTGACCCAACTTCTTGATGTTACTCAGTTTGGGATTAAGACAAAAGAGCAAGAGACCAAGGTTCTGATTGACAGGTAAGAAACTATTGCAGTTTTGTTTAATAATTGTACTTAATCTCAATATTTTTGGATACACTTGGTCTGTCTCAATTAAGCTATCAGTATACTGCACAGTGTGTTGGGAAGGACTTTTGGCATTGTACGGAGCCTTGACAAAAGCAGAGCACTGTGATTGGGCTGTACCTCGTGTGGCTTGATTTACCTTTTAATTTTCTACCTTATTTTTAAATGATGTCAACTTCCCATACTGAACATTCACCTGCAGCAATATTTACATACAGGGGAAGCCTTGAATGTACTGGTGTCACATTCTGGCAAAATCTACACAAATGTAAACTCTTAATAACCAAACTTAAGAGTATGAGTAAAATGAGATTAGGGAACTGTCCTCTTTTTATCCACTCTTTACTCAAGACACCTATTTTAACATTGATATGAGAGAGAAAGAGAGAGAGGTACTGTACCACCACTGGTAAAATTTTAACGACCCATTGTCTTGGAGAAGAAAATAAAGGGTATTCGGAGAAGACACTGTAGATAAACTAACACTGTAGTGTTAGTTTACCCCAAAAAACACAACAATGTTGATAATTGGTTTAAATTTGAATGATGAGACAAAGACTACATATATATAGCAGATAAAAAGAAGAAATGTAAAGCAACAATGTATAAAAAAAGCATTATGGTAGACACTACATAATTTAGATGCAGGTTACTGTTTTAGTCAGTATTGCCGAGAAAGGAGGCAATGGTAGGATTACTGTACATGTGTGAGTGGAATCTGTGGTAGAGGAAAGTAGTTGTAGTACTAGCGTGTGACGAGGAATAACAACAGTAGCAGTATAAGGCCGTAGTGGAGGGTGGTGTACTGTATTAGTATTAATTATCAACAGCAGTGATGTATAGTATTATAGTGTATTAGAATACACAGCATGAAGCCACACTGGACAAACCTCCCCCTACAAAAGCATATACACTTATACTAACCCACCCAACCTTTATAGGTCAATACCCATTACATTCCCATTTTTTGTATTTCTAGTAAATAATATTTCATTGTATGCTTACATCCAAAGCATATGAATGTGGTTACATTTTATATAAAGACATGTTAGGCTGTCACAAATGGGGTCCCCAGTGCAACAGTATTTTAATCTCAAATAATGTTTAATCTTTAAGCTTAAATATATTTGACTTGAATTTACATTGATGGTCCTTGTCTCATTCATCCATTGATGGTCCTTGTTTATGTCTGTAACATAAACAGGGACACGATGCGTGTGACACATAATTAATCCTTCTGTCTTGCCTCAATGTTTTCAGGGCCCTTATTCATTAGTTCATTTAAATTATGTTGATATGGTTGAAAGTTGATACTTAAATAGACTAACAAAAATACTCTAATGAATATTGAATTATGGTTGACATTAGCAAGCACAAGTATCTTTATCATACCTTATGCGTTACTTATACTGTACTCACCTAGTATATACTGTAGTTTTGTATTCTTGTCATTACAGTAAGAAGGCCAAGAAATTCTTAAAGGGAGAGAAAAAGAAGAAACTGAAACTTGTTTGAATAATTAGTTTGATATGTATATATATATATATACCCTGTATGTATATCAAATATATATAACATATAATAAAGTTGACTTATTATTTTAATTGTATTCACTCATTATCCTTGATACAATAAGTGGTGATTGTATTCTTGTATTCAGGTTCAGTTTTCTTCTGGAAGTCTTCCTAAACTTAATACTGTTGGTAGAAATGTATTTCCTGTGTAAAGCACATACTTGCAATTAACTAGCACTTTATTTAATTTTTAGCTGCACATGCACTCATACTTTCTCCCTACGCTTTTTGTCATTTCTCATTCCTCTCTCTCCCTCTTTATTTTTCACTTCTCTCACTCTTCTCTCTGACTCCTCTTTCACTCCTTTCTCATACCCCTCTCTCACCCCTTTGTTTCACTGCTCTCTTATTCCTCTCTCACCCCCTCCCCCCTCTTTCTCACTCATCTCTCACCCCCTCCCCTCTCACACCTCTCACTCCTTACTCATACCCCTTTGTTTCACTGCTCTGTTATTCCTCTCACCCACCCTCCCTTTCTCACTCATTTCTCACCCCCTCCCTCTCGCCTCTCTCACCCCTTTCACTCCTCTCTCTTGCTCCTTTCTTTCACTCCTCATTCTCCTCTCATTGCAATCTCTAATTCCCCTTTTTCACTCATCTCTCCCATTCCACTTTCTCACTTTTCTCTCTCTCATTCCCTTCTCTCGTTCCCTGTTCTCCTCTTTCCCCTCTCCTTTCTTGGAGAGGGGAAACTGCAGGCAAGAGCGGTTATCCCACAACAGCTCATCTGAAGCCTGCCACTGGCTGCTCATTTCTTTTATGAGCTTATTATTTCTATCCATTAGAAATAAACTAACATTAATATTTAGTATTAAATAGCTATGATATATGGAACAGGATGATCCAGAAGCCGACTGTGTGCCAAAGCACTCATATGGTTGATTGACCTGATTTTACACATCAGCTTGTTGAGCAAACAAGTTCTAGATACGAGTCAGTCTATAAATGAATGATCATTGATGGAGTGATGTTCTTGAGAAAGCAGTTCCAGCATTAGGCTGTTGATGGCTGAGAGCCTTGTGTTATGGGTGCCAACTTTTGGTTGTCCACATAAAGTTAGACCAGGTGGGGAACTTTTGAGAGTGTTGGGTGGCTATGTTGACACTACCATATGCATAACGGTAAGTCTGCCAGTGTTGAAGGTTCATGTTCTGATCGGTCCAACCAAAATGGGTCAAGACTAGAGATGAGTCTCCTCGCATGGTTCTACACCTTGTCCAAAATTCAATTGAATGAAGTGAGGGTGGCCGGCAGTGCACGCTCAAGGTGGATGTGAACTTGGGTTTCATACGAGGTTTTACAACCCTTGCTATCAATAATGTGTCAAGATCATTGAAGACTCAAACTTCATTCCCAAGATGTTCAACATTCAACAACTGTTTTTTTCTGCTCATTCATATACCTGCTCCAGCTGCAGTATCATAAATAATAAATATAATAAATGTTTATTCGGGTAAAAGTACATTCATAAAAGATGAGTTACAGAGTGTTAGATTTCTAGATAGAACTAGTACATACTATGCTGAAAGCCACTAATATGCTGTATTATTATCCTCACCAACTTTGCTTTCCCAGCTGCAAATGCAGTTTACCCTCTGTGATCTTATCCAAACTTAATCTGTCCTTGTACTTTTTGGATCCACATATCCACTTTTGTTTTCCATTATCTGTTTTTCCATTATTTTGTTTTTCCATTATTATCGAACAATCAATTTTCATACTGCCTATATTTTTATCTTCATAATGAGTATCATCTATTCTCTCTCCCACCCTCTTCCCTTCTCTCATATTCTCTTCCATCCTCTTTCCTTCTATTGTCTGTTCTCTTTCCCATCTTCTCTCCTGCTCCGTCTCACCCCTTCAGTCTGCCCAAGCAATCACACACTTCCTGGAAGACCAACAAGAAGGGAAGGGGAAGATCTTCCCCTACTCCCAGCCCCAGACTAACTTATTGCTCTACTGACTGAGCAGCTTCCCCCCTCCCCTCTCTCTCTCTCCCCTCATGCGGCCATGTCTAGTGTCAACCTGGCATCCCATGTGGCCATGGCTAGTGTCAGCCTGGCATCCCATGTGGCCATGGCTAGTGTCAGCCTGGCATCCCATGTGGCCATGGCTAGTGTCAGCCTGGCATCCCATGTGGCTATGTCTAGTGTCAGCCTGGCATGGAAACAGGAATGTGTTGTGATATCGAGACTCGGCCAGAAACATACGATTCGTAACTCAATTCCCAGACCAGTGTGGAAACTGTGTAAAAGACACTATTAATTTTGCCTGTGTTTATTAATACGCATTGGGTATGTTACCTAGGATAAACAAAACTATTTAAGAATATACTTGAAGAAATAATATATGTAAACAAACATTGGTGGCAGCAATTTCTATTGGCATGTCAGCGTTGAAAGGTGCGGCGAGGTATGGCTGAGTTGTGAAGGGTCTTCCCTGATTCCAACTTACACCCTGGAAGCTGCTCACTTCAGATGAGTTTTACCCGAGTCTACATGAGGGCCACTACGTTCCCAGTAACCCTGACGGGGACAAGAAGCCGGAGGCTTATCATAAATTCTCTATCGTTCCGAAAGGATGTTTCCCAGGTAGATTTTACATTTGGCATTTATAACTTTGGCTGGTTTGCGGTTCCATGGTTTATAACTATGGGTGAAAAAGAATCTAATTTGGTCTGTATTGCATTGTGGCTAGTTGAGCTTGAAGCTGTTGCCCCTTGTGTGTGCAGCTCCCAGCCAACACTGCTCGTCACATGTGGAGGACGAGTGCAGGTCCCAGCCAACACTGCTCGTCACATGTGGAGGAGGTGTGCAGGTCCCAGCCAACACTGCTCGTCACATGTGGAGGAGGTGTGCAGGTCCCAGCCAACACTCCTCGTCACGTGTAGACTTTCCTAGAATCAAGTCAAAGGGAACTCTGCTTCATCTTTCCCTGAACCTGCATTATGTACCTCAATAGGGGAGCGGAGTGGCTGGCAAGGGAGAGAGAGAGAGAGAGAGAGGAGATTTAGGATGGGGTGGCGCGGAAAGAGAGGGAGAGGGGGAGAGGACGGCAAGTCTAAATGCAAGGGAAGGAAGAGGTGGGAAGGAGGACAGGAAGTCAGTGGATGAGAGGTTAGAAAGAGAGTAGAAAGGCAAGGAGTAGGTAAGGAAGAGGAGGTAGATGAATGACTTCTTTGTAGATCTTATAAATGAATTATTATTAACAATGGCAGGAAGGTGTAGCAGTGACAAGGGCAGGAAGGTGTGGCAGTGACAAGGGCAGGAAGGTGTAGCAGTGACAAGGGCAGGAAGGTGTAGCAGTGACAAGGGCAGGAAGGTGTAGCAGTAACAAGGGCAGGAAGGTGTAGCAGTAACAAGGGCAGGAAGGTGTAGCAGTAACAAGGGCAGGAAGGTGTAGCAGTGACAAGGGCAGGAAGGTGTAGCAGTAACAAGGGCAGGAAGGTGTAGCAGTGACAAGGGCAGAAAGGTGTAGCAGTGACAAGGGCAGGAAGGTGTAGCAGTAACAAGGGCAGGAAGGTGTAGCAGTAACAAGGGCAGGAAGGTGTAGCAGTAACAAGGGCAGGAAGGTGTGGCAGTGACAAGGGCAGGAAGGTGTAGCAGTAACAAGGGCAGGAAGGTGTAGCAGTAACAAGGGCAGGAAGGTGTAGCAGTAACAAGGGCAGGAAGGTGTAGCAGTAACAAGGGCAGGAAGGTGTAGCAGTAACAAGGGCAGGAAGGTGTGGCAGTGACAAGGGCAGGAAGGTGTAGCAGTAACAAGGGCAGGAAGGTGTAGCAGTAACAAGGGCAGGAAGGTGTAGCAGTGACAAGGGCAGGAAGGGAACAACGGAACAGACAGAAGATCAAAATAGACTCGTCAACAGAGCCGTCTGGGCCAAGTGGCAGGTGGGAGGGGTAAGATAACCAGCTTCCTGTTGTGTTTCTTAGTAACCAGTGGGGGAGACTGCACACGTACGCATGCACGCACGCACACGGCCACGTGGTCAGCGTCCGCCATTCACAATCTAGTCCTCGATTCCCGAGCGCTACAGAAACAAATGAGCAGCGTGTCCTAGAGTGTACCATGGTGGCGACTTTGGTGGCCTGTAATGTTATCACGCTGGTATTGTAGTTTTCTCTCCCTGCCCTCGTCTCCCAACACCTGCCATCTGTGCGCATCTTCACTCCACACCAATGACGACGACACTGTGCACGACCCCTTACACAGTCCGCTGTACTCCAGGGTGAAGGTCCGGTGGTGGGCTCACAGGGTGTCTCCGTAATGCAATATCCTCATTGCTGTGATGCGTGAGGCTTTTTTGTTTCTTAATATTTGGTCGTCTATTGAAAGGTTTACGGGATTTTGTAAATTGTAAGCTACGCTTTTGTGAATTATTGACTTGTGTTGATGTAGTTTGGCAGTATTGATTTGTGTGTTGTTCCCCTTCTGCCCTACACACACACACACACACACACACACACACACACACACACACACACACACACACACACACACACACACACACACACACACACACACACACAGAAGTTTTCTTTTAGCGTGAGAGTAGTGGGAAAATGGAATGCACTTCAGGAACAGGTTGTGGAAGCAAATACTATTCATAATTTTAAAACCAGGTATGATAGGGAAATGGGACAGGAGTCATTGCTGTAAACAACCGATGCTCGAAAGGCGGGATCCAAGAGTCAATGCTCGATCCTGCAGACACAACTAGGTGAGTACACAGACAGACACACACACACACACACACACACACACACACACACACACACACACACACACACACACACACACACACACACACACACACAGTTTCCTCTGATTTCCATTCACATTTGTTAATTTAAAGTAGCTTGAACGACAAAATGGAATAGGAGGAAAGGAAGCTATGTAAGAGAAAGAAGAATGGGAAAGAGATGAGGGAGAGAACAGGACGGAGAAAGAGACATAGATAATTAATGATTGTATATTCTTACTTTCCTACCTGGAAGCCGCCATGAATAATTTACCAGCCTTCCAGAAAATAA